TGCGCCACAGGCCCCGGGCTCGACGGCCCCGCTCCGGGCCGGCCGGGCGGTAAAGGCAGGGAAAAGCTTGTGTTCCGTAGGAACCGTGTATTCCGTGCGCTGTCGAGACGCCAGCGCGGGGCCGCTTGTGTGTCTTTCTCGAGTACAGCATCAGCCAGCCTGCAGGATTTCACAGCTGGATTTCTTTGCAGAATTGTGATATTACACTACATTTTTTTTTTTCCTGAAAATGTCTTACGATACTTTTTTGCTGGTGTAATAATTCATATAATAAGAGATACTTCAGCCAGTAAAGAAGGCTCCTTCTAAACTTGGGTGTGCTGGAGCAGTCTTTAACAGCGCTCTGACATGCTTCAATGTTTGTTTCAGGTCCTGGTTCCTAATATTTTAATACATTACTTAACATTGATTTCCTACTAAGAATTCAACCCATCAGACCCCCATTGTAATAGGGCCCCAACATAATGAGAACAAGACGACGACTTGTTTCCTTTTCATTTCTGGCCAAACAAGGGATCATTTTTTGGAAAGAATTTTACCAAACACTAATGTCAGGTATTTCATTACTATGTATTTTTGGTATGTGGCATTAGCATGGTCTGAGCTGCCAGAGACCTGTTCCAGTACATAGTCCTGCCAGGGCAACAACAGCCTTTCCCTATTTTGTTTGTTCCTGTTACATAGTAACAGAAGTGATGCCCATCCAACTTGGCTCAGCTTGCCAAAGCGACTCTATTTTCATATAATTATCTGGTAGCAAAAGATTAAAGATTATGTTGAGAGCTGCATATCGCCTGAGATTGAAGGCATCATATTACTGTAAACTAGGTCTGGATTACTCTTCTGGCTAGTCTACCGTTCTACAGAATTAAACAGAAAGTAGTACCGAATAGCTGTAAACTCCTAAGATGGTCTTGTTTGCTCTTTGGATGACGGCAAGGATCAGTAGGAATGGTGGGAATAGACACTGCAAATGCCACAAGAGCATGAACACGCCTATTTGCGATGAGATGGCTTGGACTCTGATGTAACTCTCAGCAAAACTCCTAACATCACCTAATTCTGTTTCAAACAGGTGGTTTGCAAAATAGCTGTGCTTGCTGAAAACTAATCTTATTGTATAGAACATGACAGCACTTTTTTTTAACGATACTTTTCTTGAGTCCAACTTGAAAAGCGCTGTGTGCACCTGAAGGCGAGGGTCTAAATGATCTCATTCTACATAGAAAAGTTCAACAGTGCCCTGGTTGGCTTGGCACTTCCTTGTTTCTTGAAGTAATACACAGTAATGGTATTGTACATAAAACCACAAATTACTAGTTTCTGGATGAAAACCAAAACCACCCAACTTGCTGCATTAGAGAATATGTACATTATGGACTCCTAAGCAGTTCCTCTTACTTGCATCTGACTTGCCTTTACAGGGACTCTAGAAGAGGCCATCACCAGAGTTTTTGCAGGGAACAGAAGCAAATTAACATTACTTTTAACAAGGGCAAGTGTCAGAGAGCTGCATTTTTATTAGGTGGGTATAATTTAGCAACTGAGTAAGCGTTCTTCTTTGTGAAAACTTCCTCTATAGTTAGTTCCTCACTTAGCATCTTTCCAGTAGGAACATAAACACTGAAAGGAGTCACTGAAAAGGAATGGAAGAAGGTGAATCACCAAGGGCAAGCAGTCAGTTTTCAGGTCTCATGCGTTGGTTTGCAGGAATTGAGTATCAGTCACTGAGGAAGTAATCTGTTCTCAGAGGAAGACCAAATGAAAAGCCAGAGAGAAGGAGCACTGTATTTCGATGAAGTAGGCAGATCACCTTTTTTGACACAACTGGCAATCATCACCATGCAAGGGCATGAGCCAGGCAGAAATCCTTTGGGTTTTCTAACGTCTCTTGGTGGTGTCAGCGTTTTGTCTCTGGCTAGAGAGCTGAACAACAAAATTGCAACCTGATCACAGAAATGCCTGCTAGAGCATTCTGGGATTCTGCAACATGATTTTTGGAGCTGGGCAATTGTTTCTAAACTAGACAGCAAGAGAAATAATGTCCTTTTCAGAGTGATACCTGTCCTGATACAGGGAACTGATGTATTTCTGGGGCCTTGCACCCACCTCCTGAACTTGAGGTTGAAGATTCAGTATCCACATCTCCACAATATGTCTTCAGAGACCTCACAGATACTATACAGTAATATATGCCTTTCTCCGAGGCAAATAATTATTTAATATGCCCATTCTTATGAAAAGATAAGGAAAGAGCCCAGATAATTGTTTCACAAGAGGAGATCAAAACTATCTCAGCATTAAGGCTTTTGAGGAATATTCCTCTGGAATTTTTAAAGTTGCTAATTGTACTACTAAACAGAGAACCTTTAAACTGTGCATGGCTGAAAAAATTGTGATTCTGTTCACAGCAGCGTAATTCCAATTCCAATTCACCGCACAGGCAATGAGGAAGAATAAAGGAAGTTTCTCACTGTCATTAATGAATTGTCTATATAAAGAAAAAGAAGAAAAATTGACATCTATTTGTTTTATTTTTATCAATGTAGATAGTGAACCTATCACCAAGTATTTTTAAGTACACAAACAATAGAAATTAAAAACACATAAAATAATGACTCCAAATGGACCAACTTAACAAATAATAATGAAGAAACTCTGTGGTACAGGTGTGCCAAACAGATTTTAACAGTATAAATACAATTAAAATTAACAGCACTAAAGCTATTTAGTAAGTGTTAAGCTAAAGCTATACAATCATTTCACAGAGTATCAGCACACTTATTCAATTCAGCCTTATTAACACCTTGGTACCAGTTGCTGAATGGCTCCCAATTATTATTACATACCAACACCAGGTGTCAAAGATATATATCTTTTTTTAAGTAATACGCAAAAGGCTTTTTTTCCGCCAGCAGTTCTTTAGATAAAACATACAATAAACAGAAAGAAGAAAAAGTACTTGTTATTCAAGTTTCTAAAGGTTAATTACTCTGTTATCTATACTGTAAGAAATTCTTCAGTATTGTTGGCAACTGGAGTTGCGGGACAAGATGCAGTCTAGCTCTTCCTATGTAATTTCGGATACATAGTCGGCAGAGCTGACAAAGAGAAGATGGTGTGGCTGCAAACAAAAAAGAAAGGAGTTTAATTATACAACTATAAAAGCCAGTACTTTGTTTTACAGCAGTCTTGCACAATAATGGAATTTCTAAAAAAAAATGTTCACATTTTGCAAATTTGTCCTTTTCCTTCCTTCCTTTTTGCCCTCAAAGATAAAGACTGGGACTGCTGAAACCTTACTAATAATCAGGGAAATACTCAAAAAAATGCTTTTTTGGTCATGTCAGCAAATAATTTGTGTTTTTAAATTAAAAACCTGCTCCCAGAAAATTTCTGATGTGAACAACTTTAAAAAGCTGCAGGGTTATTTTTTTATTTATTCATAGAACAAGTGAAATACATGCTACAGCACTACAAGCTGCTCTACCAATGTATCACTGTAAGAAGAATAAGCAGGCAAAACACCCCGAGATCCTGGACCATGGTTAGTGGTCTTACTAGCTCATGATAATGCCTTTGTCCCTCTACGCCCCTCCACTCCATCACAATGAACACATTGCTGTGTTTCTCTGGGCAATAAAACCATACATGTTTCATGCCAATTCATTTTTTTTGACATCTTTGCTGTGGCTTTTAAAAAATGTTGTGATAACCAACTGTTTTTAGAGGGTTTTTGTAACAGCATTCTGACTAGACAGATGTTTTCTGGAGGAAAACGTTAATCAAAGCTACTTGTCAGTTCCCCTCTAAAGAGATGCCCACGGTTATTGCAATAGTTTCTGTGCTTATTTCCCATCTTTGTCTTGTGGCTTCTTTTTATGCCGTACATAGGTCAGTCTGAACAAATCCAGTTCCCTTTGGGATATATTCTCTCTCTCTCTCTCTCTCAGGCAACAGACCTTTAAGAGTTTAAGGGACTCCTAAGTATTGACTCCTATTTCTCAGGTACTTATAATTCAGTAAAGAAAATTTAGCAAATGAAACTTATTATACTTTTTGGCTACAATCACAGTAAAGTACTTTATATGCACTTAAAAATATATTTTTAAAAATATTGGGACAGCTGGCCAAAACTAAATATATTTTTAATCTGAAATTGAAATATTCTGTTTCTTTTTAACAAGGTCTGTAACAGCCGATAAAAATATAGCTTTAATGTCTAATTGTGTAAACACCCAATAAACACAAGATGATTCTTTTTCAGCTTGTATAAATTCTGATGCTGCTTGGTCAACAGGCTCTGGCCTGACACTAAGTATTACTGGGTATTTTTATAGTCAGAAAGGAATTTACCTGAATGTTAATATATTCATTTCATAAAGTACAATGTTAGCTTCTACAGTATGGGTCATTTGGGCTGTTGGGGTTTTTGGCGGGGGGTAGGTTAGGTTTTGGGGTTCTTTTAAGAATACAACTTAGAGTTGCAAAAACACACATGTAAAACTTACCTTCATGGAGGAGCAGCAGTCTCTCCACTAAACTGCTTGGGGCAGCTAAATCAACAGGCCTCTCAAAATCTGTATTTTTGGCATTTATGTCTGCCCCAAATTCAAGGAGTAAGTTTACGATCTCTGTACTAGAATGCTGGGCAGCAGCATGGAGTGGAGTTTCCAAATGCTTTCCTTTCTGCACATTGGCACCTGGTGGGTAGACGCACATAAAGAGACGTAAGACGAGATTAATTAAAATTGTCACTGAGTAAAGATGATGTTACAAAACAAACAAAAAACCCCCCCGCTGTCCTAGAACGCCACGGTGAGTTTAGCCACTTCACTAATTTTATCGCATAGCGCTATAGCTAATCATATCAGTGGGGTTTTTTGAACCCATACGCTTAACCTAGGTTTTATTAGCTAAGCACAACTAGATTTTAAAGCAAAATACTTTATAAAAAGAAGGAAAAGAAAAATCAAATTAGGTCATGTGAGAATCACTGTTGCCCTAATAATAAAAAAGTACATTTTGTACATGTTTAAGAAAATTTGTACTACATAAAAAAGTATTTTCCTTATTTAAGTCTTTAAAAAGAATCACTAAACTGAAGTTTAGTATTTAGATTTTTGTAAGTACACCAACTCAAGAAGGAATCTAACTTGGATGCTTTATAGTTTTTCTTGTGATGAAGCTGGCAAGGGGTTTGAAATAGATTCCCATCCCATCCAACCTTTAACAAGGATTTTTCTATAAAGGACTTAATTTTAATTAAGGTGGGATACACAGTCAAAAAAGCTAATAGGGAAAAAACCCCAAACCATTAATTCTCCCAGTCCACAGAATTCTAATTATTACACTTTTGTATTAATAAGGAATTGCTAATTTATTTTAAATTAAAATGGACTAAATTAATTTGCACTAATGCATTCATATTCAAGAAAAAATTATCCATATCAGAGTTAAACAAAACTATAGCTAGTATGGAAGAATTTCTCTTATAGGCAAGCTGTTAGTCCCCCTAAAACTGGGTTTGCCCCAACAGTCTTCTAGACTATGATAGCAGAAGAAAAACCCAGGCTTCTTAAGGGAGCTTTACTGATCTCGTGAGACCAAGAATTGGCTTCTGTACCGACTTTTCTCCTTAAATCAACAATTTTTGCCTTTTTAATTCCCATTTGAGTAAAATAATTTAATAATATCACAGGCCTAGCAATTAGATTTGAAGTCTGAGTAACTCACTGTTCTCAGTATTAACAATTTGAGAATACTTCCACAGTATCATTCCCTTGCCCATTTCATTGTCTATTTGCTTTTCAACTTCTAAAACATTCTCATAAACTGATAAAACATGAAAAAATTCAGATTGACATAAATAGTTACTTATATTCTCAATTTACATACCCTTTTCTACTTCAGGGCACCAACAATTGTAGAATATGCCCTCCTGTTACTGTTTTTAATGTATGGTAGTATTTGAATCCCCACATATGCTAATTATACTTCTGCAGTTCTTAAACATAAAAATCATGACAGAGGATAGTTAATCATACAAGGAGACTGACTTAACGAGAAACAATTTAACTGCTTGCTTAAGTTCTAAATAACCTGCGATTAACTAGAAACACAATTCCGGTGTAATGATGGCAAGTCTGTAATTATTCATATATACATTTTCATTCATTGTGCTGCAGGACACAAAAGCCCTGTATGCCATTACCTGAAACACAGCAAACGATCCTTTAGCTATGCCAGTTGTGTCCTGGGACTTGTGCTGAAACAGAGTGAGCCTCCAACATCTCTTTCCCATTGATTAAATAAATAATCATATGCGAAATTTAGGATCAAATACCTTTTACCTTACCTCTTCTCTCTGCAACTCAGCCTCGATGCCTTGTAAAAAGATCTATTAGAACATGCTAAAGAATGAAAAAGGGTGGGACTCATTGCTAAAAGTTCTGTTGAAAGCTCAGTGATTACTGTATAAAATTCCATTCTCAAAGCTGTTTTTTTACCTTTGTTTTTCCTACAGAAAATTAACATCTACAAAGCTGTAGGAGGTGCTAAAAATTTTGAACATCCATTCTTATTAGTATGGCTTCCCTTTTCTCTCATATGCGTGCTACACCACAAAAAAATGAAAGACATAGTAAGTTATTACAAGAAAACAATAAACACAAAATAAACTTAGAAGTAGAGCCCTGCAAGGAAGGGTCCTAGTTTCATTGATTGAGCACAGCTCACTTCAAAGGTGAGTACAGTATGCTTATTTTAAAAACTAGTAAAATTTTTATTTAAATCGTGACATACCTGCATAAAGAAGCTTTCGAATACAATGGATCTGCTGTGAAACACATGCTACATACAGAGGTGTTCCTAAGTGAGGAAGATCTTGGTCAACGTCTATACCCCAGGATATCAGCACCTCCAGACATTCACTGTGACCTGTCAGTACAAAGCACGACAGAGTTTGCTCGACATTAGTAAGCTGTCTCATACACAAAACCAGACACAATTCTTAACGCTATTATTGAGACATTTGTCGACTGCTCCATGTTTGTTCAGCAGGTAATTTCTTACCTCTGCTGGCTGCTTCATGAGTTGGTGACGGAAGACAGGACTCCCACTGAGCTTTGGCACCATACTCTAACAGGAGCTCAGCACATGCTGCACTGCCTCTCGAACATGCATTAAATAAAGGTGTCACTCCATCAATTGTTGTAGCATTTACCTAGAATATATAAAATCTATTTAAGAACAGATTTGAAAGGTAAATTTTTAAATGGGATATAGTTAGAAATTGCATTAAAATACCAAAAAAATTTACTGGTTAGAATAATGTAGCTTATCTGATCAGTCCCTGTGCTACTGTCTTCCTCTCACCACACCCCTCAGTTGAAATTAGTTTACTATTATTCTTATTAAACTATGTTGAATAAACCAAAATACACCTGGAATACTGAAGAACACACATTAACATCTAGGCAGTAAATCATTTTCAAAAGTCATTACGCTTAGCTTGTTTCACTGATACAGAAAATCTACACTTTGTGTAGTAATGGGATAATGGGGACCTTCTCTCCACAGCTTTGTCAAGAATACAAACTCCATGTTAAATGTGAGAATTATTTGCCGTTTTCTTCCATGGTTTTAGTCTCCAGGTTGGAGTGGTATTTCACAGGATGGAGACAAAGCTAATAGTATAGTACAGGGTCGCTGTTTTAATACTAACCTCGCCCCCTCACTGGTTAATTGAATGTTCCCAGTGTGAGAGAATGAGGAGAGAAACTAGGCAAATTTGTGAGGGCTAATAATAGTAAAGGAAGGAGCACAGGTATTAGGAGAGGGCTCCTTCCAGGACTCTGGCCTATCCTCTTCCATGCACCCCCCAAACCCACCAAAAAATTTAAAAGTACTAAAAATATTCAGATAGGAAAATGAAATTTGTCCTTACAGTTTTGTCTATAATATCTATAGGTTTGTATCTTTAGAAGCCTTGTGCTAGGTGAAGTGGAGAGGAATTGTTTTTGGAAACATCTATGCTTTTTTTCTTTTTCTGTAATAACATAGACATATTCTACATGGGTCTCAAAACTGAATTGTAAGGATAATAAATATTTCCATCACAAAGATCAGGTATTTGGAAAACTACACATTTGAACTCTGATGTCAGCAGAAATTGTAGTGAAAGTGGTCTGTAAAGTCCCGTTCTTGTTTTGGGGTAACAGATAGACAGCCTGTGTCCGGAGTACAGGAAAGAGCCAGTGCTTTTTTTGTACTCAGACCCTAAGAATCTTAAGTGCACACAGGTGCAGTGTGACAAAAGACATTCTGGAAATTAAAAGAACAGTCTCCTGCAAGCCACTCAAAACAAGAGGAAACAGTAAAGGAGAGGGACGCATTCCATGTTTTAGAAGAGAGATAATGTAATGAAATTCAGAGAAGAAATAAGGCTGGTGACACACCGCTAGCAGATTCTCTCCAATTCTTGACTCTGTCTCAGTGTCTGCCCAGCTCCCATCTATTTTCCCTGTTACTGTTCTTCTGTTTGATATCTACACTTACATGTACAATTATGTGGTTTGTTTGGTTGTTTTTTTTTTTCTTTTAACCTAACATCTCTCTAATGATGTTTCTTTGACCCATCACTTTCCTTTGCTAGCTTTCAGATGGGAGCTTATTGAAATGAGATAACTGCAATCAATAGGGTGAGTAGAGAGAAATATCAATTAAAAAAAATAAAAATCAAGGAATATATCCTTCTTAGTTAAACTAAGGTTAGCACCAGACTTCATATACAAAAAAAGAAACAAAAAAACCCCAAACCCTTACATTTGCTCCTGCTTCAAGAAGGATTCTTGCACATCCTACATGATCTCCCAGGCAGGCTTCATGAAGTGGAGTTACTTGGTCAATTGTTAGTGTGTCAACATTGTACCCCTAAACAAGACATGAATGACATACAGAGATCATAGAAAAGCTGTTAAGAGTAATTTCCTCGCACTACTGTTCAAATGAATAGATTACAATACTCTAAATAGGCTTAAAACTCTACTTGCAATAAATAAATCTTCAGTGAGCATAAAAAGAATCTTTCAGCAATGTATATAACAGAATAAGAGTAAGTTGTCAGCTTTTTTTTAAAAAAATCAGAAATAGGAATAGGATATAGAGGGTATAAAGAAGATGGAAACAGACTGTTGAGATGCACAGTGGTAGGACAAAAGGCAACAGACACAAGTTGGAACATGGTGAATTCCAGTTAGTTAGATGGAAAAAAATTTCACTGTGGGGACAGTGAAACCCTGAACAGGGGTCCAGAGAGGTTGGTGCATCTCCACTGCTGGTGATCTTTAAAACTCAACAAGGCCCTGAGTCTAAACTGTCCTGTTTAGGACAGAAACTACGATCCTCTGACTTAAGGTCTGAAATATCTAAAGCCACAAATTTTAGCAAGGAGATCACTTCTTGGATTGAGAAAATCATCAAGCCCTTGAAATTTTCTGCAGTAGATGTTGCTTGATTCTTAAGAACTAATAATTGCATCTATTGGCTTTCATCAAATGTATTCTATAGTATACATTTTCAGTATTGTAGTAGCTGATATGACAATACTGTAACATTAAAATTTAGCGGTTTACAGTCTCCCCTTTGCTATTAACAAAATATATATATTTTTAAATCACAACTATGCAAAAACCAGAATCTTGCAGTGATTCTTCCACTCAACAAGTATCTTCCTGACTAGCTCTATTTACCTGAGGGCTTAAAGCAGTAGAACTACATTGATTTATACCATGCAAGAGGGGGAGACTGATACACATTTAGATACAGCTTTGGTAAAAATTTTTTTGGGGAGGGAAGTTTTAAAACATATAGAGGAAATACTTTAAATATTAACTTATATCTTACCATATAAAACATTCCTAAATGTGTATTGCTCTGAAAAATTCAAGTGAAAAAAGCAAAGCAAAGTATACTAAATCTGCATTAATAATCTATGCTGAGAAATTAAGTAACATTAAAAATAAAAGCAATTTTAAGAACACAGCCTTCACCTGTGACAATAAAGTCTTTAGAGAAAGAAGACGTCCTTGACTGGCTGCCTCATGCAGAGGTGAGCGATCTGCCCAAGAACCTATGTAATAACAACATTTATTGAGTAAACCACATGAATTAGAAGGATTTTGGAATGCATAGAGCAAAGCAGAAAATATAATGCACAGAATGAAGTCAACTGTCCTATGAAATTAATTTTTCCTCTTTACAGCCTGTATTTCAAATGATCAGTTTCTAAACAATAAAAACTGCTCTATTAACTGTAAACATCTCTAATAAATGATTATGTGCTACAGAGAACAAAATATTGATATATTGATTTCAGTAATCTGATTTAATAAATTCATCAACTGCCGTATTTCCCACTTCTATATTTGCATTGTTCATTTTTTTTTAAAAAATAATATAACTTATTTTTGCAGCTGGCATATGGAAATTTATAGACTTCAACAAATTGATATTTGAACTTCAACCAGTCATAAACCTGCCTGAAAAAGTCCTGAAAAAGTCCTGAAAAAGCCAATGTACATGAAAATCAATATGGAAATCCCTATGTATGATGAGATTAATCTGCAGCTACTACACAAGTGCAAGGAGAGAAATACAGTGAGAATCACAGTAAAAAAACTGCTATAGTAGAAATACGATATTAAGTCAAAGTTCTCATTCTAATAGGCTATTAGGGCTAAAAATAGTTAGATATGCTTAATGTAAAGGTTTGGCATTTATTTTCATTTATTTATCACCCCTGAAAAAGAAAGCGGGGGGGGAGAAACCAAAAAACCACCTCGCCTTCACACACATACCCCACGCCTTAACTCCCAACCCAGGTCCCAGAGTCATCCTGTGGCTCTTGATGAAGAACCTGCCCTTTCCTCTAGAAGACTGGCCCACTGACAGGTCCCTTCTAACCAGACAGGGTTGCAGGCATAGCTGATACCAATTTACTGTAGGAATTTTGCAAATCAAGTTTTGAGAGATTGTGAAAGGAAGAACCATCTTCAAAATATATTATGAATTACTGATATTTATTCCTGTAGGAAGAAAATCACTGGCACTGTAAAATGCTAATACAATCACTCATGTGAGTTATATCAAGTCCGTCGTCCCCCTCCCTGCCAAATCCCTGAAAAAAATGTAGAGAGAATTAGCTAAGTCTGATGACCTGGTAACAATGGCAGATGAATCCCCAATGTGTAAACATGTTTGACTTTGTCTGCTGCAATGGACTAGGACTGCCTGCAAAGCCAGTTCCTGCATTTTAGTGACAAGGCAATGAGTTTTAAAGGAGAAGGCTGTTGTTCAATCGCTGGCAATCACCAGTCTAAGCTCTAAGGTAACTACTCACTAGAAATAGACCCTGTTGCTGTTTCCCACTGGACCCCTTCTGTCCACTAGACTGTTTCAGGAAGTAAATTTCTGATTACAATAAACCACCCCCTCAAATCACATGAAGAATGACCGAAAAGATTAAGACTGCTCAACCTGAAAAGAAATCAGGGCATAGTTAAAAATGTATGAAATTGTGCACAATATGGAAATTGAGATAAAGCCTCCATTTTCCTAGAGGTGTTAGTGAATGCAACTAAAACTTACTCAGATGTGAGACTGACTGTATCTTCTCACAGAACATATAACTACACTGTGGAACTCAGCACTACTGGATGCTATTGAGATCAAAAACTTAGAAAAACAAAAGCACAGCTGAGTATTTAAATTATCATAAGACTACATAAAGCTGATCACAGAAGTTAAAAAATATAGGAGATTAAAGCTTTGTAAACCTGATCTTAAAAATGCATAGAGATGTCTGTTACGTCCGAGTATCCAGTATCTGTGAAGCTCCTTGTACTCTTTCATCTGTGGGAGTAGATGGGGCATAGGCAAGATCCAGCTTCCAATACTCTTTCAGAATTATTTACACTAAGCTCTGATCATCTGTGTGTGCATGTGTATGTACATGCACACACATCATTCCCTATACTTTATTAAATTTTATTAAATGAAATATTTGCAATCATTGCCAGTCAGAATAACAGCTAAAAAAAACCATACCAAAAGTGACTGGGATTTTAAGGGGCATTATTCTACAAAAACTGAGCTCAGAAATCTTAAAGTGATCTGACTTTGACAAAACATCAGTATTTTCTCTGTCATCCCAATAAGCTCAGATATATTTATCCTCTTGTAGGTTTGATGCATGCAAACACTATGAGAATTTTGACCAATGTTTTCCTTCTTCTGTAGTAGTATCTGAACCAGCACTCAAGTTGTTCTAATTCAAATCAATTAGATCCATTAAGTTCTCCTGCTTTCAGCTCGGAAGAATTCCTCAAAAATTATTAAAAGTTGTGTTTAGAAGTTGCTTTTGAATTTTGTCCCCCTGTCTCTACAGATGAGTACTTCTCTCTCCTGACAGTTTGTCCTACTGCTAAATTAACAGAGGAAAAAAAAAGACACTTAACTATTATATAAAAAAAGTCTAATAAAATTGTGTCATGAAGTTTTTACGCCCATTAAATACACTACACTTTGGACATTTTTGTAGCCATGTATAACTCTAAACGGAACAAAGATGCAGGTAGGATCTGAAAGCAACATTTTTTCCACCTTTCTTTCCTTCACCTCCTTCCCTCTTGAATTGTTCAGAAGAATGTCTGTTAATGTCATTACTCCAGTGGCATCTGAGAATCAAATGATGCCAGATCCCATTTTGAGCTCTGTTTTGCACCTAGACCCACCTTATATCCCTGTCTTCATGTAAAGACATCCAGTAGCTAGCTATTTCTGCTAAATCCATTAAATAAAAAATGCTTGTATCATCTCTACTAGAAATAAAATCTGTAAGCAAAATGCTGCAGAAATATTTTATGCAAACCAAGTTTGGGAAAAACTTTCACATTCCAACTGATTTATCGATAAACACAGTAATTAATCATTAAATACCACAGGGACAAGAATACGTTAAAAATAAGTATGTATCATAAACAAACATCAAAGGTGTCTCCAAATAAATCCTTTGTCTAGATTTCTGCCTTCTGCTCATCTACAAACTTGCTATGTCTCTCACTTAGAAAGCAGTAACAAGAATATAAACAAGATTTTTTTCATTCATTGTTGTCTGTAACAGAAATATTAGCAAACAGTCTATTCCAAAACTGTTAATGCATTAATTCCCTACTGATGTCGTCTCTGACAGATGCTGAATACAAAGTATCTCTAACTATATTTAGAAGCTGTGTTAGTTCCAAGTTCTCTGGTGTATAGTTTACCAGGAAGGGCAGCCCTCATTGCTTTGTAAACACTAACAAGAAAGAATAAATATATTTACTGTATTAAAAGGTGAAGTTAAAAAAAAATTACAAAGTATCATACAATACCTAAATCTCCATCTCCCCATGGCACTTCCAGACAATTGCAATTATAAATCCTACTCATTTCTTTCAATCTGGAAAATAAACAAACAAACAAAAAAAAAAGTCTGTTCTTGCTAGTTGGGCCTGTTCTTAATGCACTCCAGCTATGTTTGGAAGGAGATCAGCAGCTCACTGTAATATGAACTTTCACCCTTCAGTAAACACAGCTTTGAAGATATGAGCGTATACAAGTCGCCAGGTTTTTTTCTTATGCTAAAGGACTGTGGCCCTTTCTGTTCATTTTTCACATTTCTTTTTTTAACATAACAACTTTTCAAAGTGCCAGTATCTGTGCATTTGCCTTCCAAGACAGATTAACTGGAATTTCAACACAAGATAAACTCACAGTGAAATCAAGAGAACCTTGAGCTGAATAAGAACTGCAGGACAAACTCTTCCTTTAACCTCATGCAATGAGACACATGGTTTTGCATCCTCAAATATCAGTATTAGTACACAGATTTGTAAGGGAAGCATTGCCAAATGTTCATGTTATTTTACTACTTACTCGTAATACGCTTAGAAAAGAAATAAGCAAAGATATTCTGAATATTTTTCAAATGCTATTTGATCCATATGCTGAACTGTGTTTTTCTTTCAGCAGTTCACTATTGCCTCAGTTATGTTCTAAAAAATTCTTTGGTTGTTAAATTGGGGTTTTGATAAGTATTCTCAGCAGTGAAAATCCCCCAAAATGGGGATTTTCAATTCTGACTTTGATCCACTTCTAAGTCATTAATATTATTTCTTCATGTTTTCCTGCAGACTTCAGTCTTTTACATCTACCTGCAATTACCTGTAAGTCATTCCTGCAGTGATGATCATAATAGTAAAACACTAAGTAAAAATATTTTCGTAAAAGTCATTAACTCCAGGCATCCCATCCTTTTATTTCTAAAAATTTGTGTAGTCTTAAAAAAACAAACAAACAAACAAAACAAAACAAAAGAAACACAGTATAAAAGGTACCTTAAAATTTGGATTTTCAACACAAGGAGGACTGGAAATGAATGAAAGTCTTCTCACTGACTTCACCAGGAGAACATTTAGGCCAGGGCTCAGCACGTTAGAAAAATACTGCTCTAAGGGTAAATAGATGGTGTCCCAGTCCTCAGAAGAAGCAGTATCATCAAAGAACTGAAAATAGAAGCCTGTCCCAGTTCATTCTTGGGAGATGAGAAACACAGACTATTTGGAAAGTGTTGTAGCTAATACTTACTTCTGCAAAACTAACAAATGCTATGTATTAAGCTCATCACTGTTACCTTTTACTCCTTGAGATGTATTCTGAGTGGTTTAGTTTGTGGCAAGCGAGGCAACAGACAGGATCAATAACCGTAACAGAAAAACTCTGTAACTTTATAGTCCCAAGATCAATGGACTCACTTCACTCCAGTTGTTAAAACTGCCTGATATTTTGTATACGTAATTAGGTTCTAACAGATTTTTACTGTGGCACTATAAAATTACCCATTTGTCTAAAGCCTTTGCAGGTTAAAGAAGTGTAGCAACTGCTTAATTGATATTTGATGTTAAAAACTATTGAAAAGAATCTTAAGTTGAGGATTTAAAAGTTAAGAAATGCATCCGTGGTGCTTAACTACTACGATTAGATATGACCAGCAAAACAGAAGCTAATTCTTTTTGACAAATGAAATTCCAACAATCAACATTGAAGAACTCCAAAAGAATCAGAATTTAGGCTAGAGATGACTAAAATATGTCTGTGAGAAAAGATGTAGTTCAAGTGGCATTTAAATATTTCATTTCAATATTTCAAATAATCTTTGTTTTCATTTGACTGAAAATTATATAACAATACATAAATATATACACATAAATATATGCATACCAAAAAATGAAACCTTGATTGGTTCAAACCAGTGTTCTTTCAAGTGTTTATCATCATGCAGACTTTCAAAATTTGCGGATTTTATTCCAAATGCAAAGGCCATTGATTTCGTACCCTTGAAAACCATACGAAACAAATTTATTTTCCCACAGTTGTTTGTGATGCACCCACATTATATGACCACACATTAGTTTTGCCATTTCAGTGTTGTATGCAATGAAGAAGTTGGCATTCAAATTATTTTTTATCTCCATACCTAGTAGGATCTTTCGCTCTTTAAGATATGCTAACCAAACTATAAACTGACTATAACATCATTAATTTTACACTGCCTTTTTCATGGTATTCTCCCAATAACAAAAGAATACTTCAAAACCCTTGCTGAATCTACCTTCATAACATCATCCATTCATACTATTTTATAACTAAGGAACCAAAAGATAGAGAGTTTTGATGCTTAAATTGTAAAACCAATCTAATAGCTTATTTTTTCCAGAGTACTTAAGCATTAGAGTGTACACTGAAAGCATAGTTTAATTATGGTTATGAGAGCTTTGAGCTTCTGAAATTTCAGCCTTAGATAATAATAACCATGATCAGTCAAGAAACTTTTAGGTTAGATGATTGGTCTTAAAACACACAAGTGCCACAGCAAAGACAAGAATAGAGTTTGCTTTTAGGGACATGAAAACATTAACCCTTTTTTCCTACCTATTCACTACATGCCTTCTAAACTTTGCAACATACAGGAAAACATAGGGTGTATTTTTTCCAAGTATAAACCAAATGCATTCTGAGAACATCATCCACCTTGCACATCAAAGGAAGCAGGGTCTTTGTGGAAAAGTACAGCATGTGGCTGTGTTGCCAAATACTGGGTTATAACGCATTAGGGGGTCAAATGGGAGTGGCACAGGCAACATTACTTCTAACATTTCCTAAACTTTGAGTGCTTTGACATTGCCATCTAACCTACTTTTCACACAGAAACATGAGGCACTAAAGCATATTAACAATCCGAAAAAAACCCACAGCGGCAATACCCAAACCCAGCTCACTTGGTTCCCAACAGAACCGACATTATGCTACGCAAAGGCAGTGGTAATGCCGATGGCGTTGCTGCTGCTGGCCCCGTGCCAGGCCTTGCACACGCAGGAAGAAGTGTGTCAGGCCCCTTCTCCTGTCACATGAAAGCACAGCAACGACTCCCTTCTCCGTTCCTCATGCACGGTTTGTTTTTTCCGTCTTCTTGAAGGATCAGCAACTGGCTGGGTATTTTCCCAGCTGAAAGTAGCTTGCAAACTCTGTGTGCCTTAGCTAGAGCACCAAGGTGTAAAATCACATCAGCCTCTAAATTCAGTAATCTGTTAGACCCGCATCAGATTTGATTTGAGTATGTGGAGCAGCCGGCAGTACTCTCAGGCTGTTATTATTCCTTGGACAAGTCACTAAAACAAAGTAAGGGTGTCTCAGTAGCCTTCCCAACTAGAAGGTGACAGAAAAGGCATACAGACATTCTGAGACGAGTTAGGCTCTGGAGGACTTCTGCCTGGCATAATTTTGCTCCTCAAATGCAGTCTCAGCCTTAAACCAGCCTGCAAGCAATTTTCCCCAAGCTGTGCTCAGAGTTCTCAGTGTTTTCCCAGCCTGCCAGAGTGAATGCAGCACGCGGCCTAATCGCTAGCCTTAAAAGCGGTACACAGGTGGGCAGCAAAGCTGGGCCTAGCGTGCTCATTTTTGCCACATCCAGGAGATTTTGGTAAAATAACCTTTTTCTAGCCTGACTCTATCCTTTTGCCCTCCTACCAAATCTTCTCATGACATATTCCACCCCCTGCATCACTTTTAGTCCATTTTCCAATCTGCATGTTTAATTACATACTGCATTGCAGTATGCCTTTCTCTTCCTTTGCTCTGTGAGGGTGCCTGAAGAACAAAGTCAGGTTTGGATACCCGCATGGATGGGAACAGAGAGGGAAGAAAAGAGCCTCCTTCAGTTTGATATTAGCTATACTTGTTACTTAAGTGAACTGTAACAACCAGAGCCTCAGCTGCAACAGAAGTCCCTCAATACTTCAAGATGTCCATCAATAAATACATACATCCTGTTTAGCAATCACAAAGAAGCTGTAAGTAGCTGGATCGTATTAAGATGGAGTCTTCAGAAAATTTTACTTCCCATCTTTTACTGTGATTTTAAAAATTTCAAAACTTAACTAACTGTGGCTATTTCTTTATAAGTATGGCAAAAGAGCCTATCCTTGAACCATATCAAGGAGTGGCTAGTGCTAACATTGATAAACTTTGGTAAAATTTCTTTTCAGTCTGAGGGAGAATGTGCTATTTTTTGGGAACTACTGACCTAACTAGCTGAAATGTTCATAAATAACAGATCAGGAAATCTTAGCCCAAACAGTGAACAATATGAGGGTAAAAGATACACTTGCATATTAAAACTGATGAATAAATATAACCTTACAGTGCCACTGCATTTAAAGAGTTACTTGGGAAGCTATGGTAACTGTTGCTTAAATTCTTGAATATTGCTTAATTCTAAAACTGGCAGTACTGGAAATTAGCAAAGGTATTTTAAGAATAACAGATTCGTATAACATAGAGCTACGTTTTGCATGGTAAAGTCATAATTATTTTTATGCACGATATATCAAATCTCTCTTCCCTGTCTCCTCCTTTCCCTGACCATTTTAACATTTCCAGTTTTTAATTTGAAATCATATTATCAGGAATTTCAAGTTTTATTTCCTTATTTTCTTTTTTGTTTCACTCTAAGCCTTATGATGTGGTCAATATTAATTGGAATTACAATCACTCTTTTAAAAAATTCCTGTTAGATTCTCACAATTACTCAAAGCTCCCTTTTACACACTTGTATTATGAAAAAATTAGGTAAATATGGCACAGACAATAGCAGTCCTAAACACTTCTTCTATAATAGAGTTTGTTCCTTGTTGCTGAAAACGTCAGTGTCCAGCAACTTAAAACACCTCCTAAGTACTTCTCTATGCAAACACTAACAATTATGTCTTTGTCTTCAGTATCTTAGTACAGGACAATAATTCTGTCACCTGTAGTTCCCCCATTCCCTCCTTTTTCAGCTACCTAAAAACTTCTCTTTACATATGAAGTTATATGTAAAGTTTACTCCTCCCCCCTCCTTTCATTCCCAGTTCCCTGTTGTAAACAATTAGCTTTCAGTATCCAGTTACCTTGTGACAGCACAGCAAAAGTCAGGGTAAGTCAAGCCTTAAACATTTCCATATAACAAATAGGGCAGATAAACAAGAAAAGGTATTTCAGATCAGCTGATAAGAGTGCAGAAAGAACAAAAATAGCTTCAACCTTGTGTTAACCCATGCAAGACAATAAAGTGCCACTAACATAAGCATGCATTTATATTACAGCTAGAAAAAAAACAAAACAAAACCAAAAACCAGTTTAGAGCTAGAACATCATAAAATTGGGTCAGCTTTAGCATATTTCAGTACACGGTTTCTGAAATGGCTGCTATACTAACCTTGGCTGGTCAGAATACCCCAGCTAGCTTTTCGTTTTGCAGGACACTCCCCTATACTTTCTAGGCGTCTTTTGGGGAGATTCTGGCTCCTCTGAACAGCAGTGTTTGTTGTCATTATTTGTCTCTCGAGGAAAGCCTGGCTGTCATTGGTGCAGGTACTCTGGTCTGACGAACATCCACAAATGGATTTCTACTACCTTTTTTTCCTCCTTTTGCTTTTTCACAAAGGATCTTGCTGTACTTACTGTAGAATGGCTACAACACTGAAACCCATTCAGTAACATTTACTAGCTTGGACTAGTGAGTACATAGTGGGGGAAGGGAAGGACTGCTCTAGCATTTTCTATTTTTAAAACAGAGAAAGAATCAGCTTAGCTACAGCATGAGTCTTAACTATTTACATGATTTAAATGGAAAGAAGGTGTTAATTTTTTTAATCATTTAACCAAAAAAAGAAACAGATTCTTAAAGCATAAGTATTCAGTGCTTTGTTGTTTGAATAACAAGCAACCTAAAACAGAAAAACTGAAACTGTTTTATCAGAATGGCAATTCTTTTAATAATAGAAGTAATAATTATTACTGCATCAGGCTTTACTCATATGTAACTTGCAGTTAAGAGAGATTTTGGAATTCAGAAGAATTCATGAACTTATGAAGCACTTCTGGCTTTTTATGGTTTGTTGGTTTCTTTGTTTTTTGTTGGGGTTTTTGTTGGGGTTTTTTTGTTTGTTTGTTTTAAATAGGGGACAAGGTATCCTACACATGTCAACTAGAAACTACATCCTGAATAAATAAAAGCATGGCTTGACTATCAAAAAACCAAAATTTCACTGGTTATTTTGAAAGTCTGATCCCATTACGAAAGTAAGGCTGTAGTCTCGTCAGAAGCAGCACAAGTCAATATTTTTTTAAAATAATAACAAACCCAAGGGCAATCAACTAATAGTAGAATTTTTTTGTTTGTTACTATGTATCATGCTGATACTATACAAGAGAAATCTGCAGGGAGAAACAATCCATGATAAAATTCCAGCATGGATAAAGAGGACAGTGATTTCTCTGTACTAATAACATGTTAAGATGCTGCCTTTACCTCCTTCCAGTATTTCCTCACTGTCCTCTTCTACTGATACAAAAACTAGCCATTTGTAAACTTTTTAAAAGGAAATTAACATTACTGGGTTTCATTAATACTAGTCCTTTCAGATACCTGACAAAAATTAATCCCGAAGATGTTGAAATAATACACAGGTATTTAAGGAAATTTTCTATATCCTTCTTGTTTTTCTTTAAGAGAAAATCAGAGGCAAGATTATAATTAGGTAGGGTAAGGGAAAGAAAAGGAGCAGCTGCAAATTTTACGCTGCAAATCTCACCTTGAAATTACAGCACATGAGACCTGCCCTACTGGAATGCCGCTACACTCTACAGAACAGAAGCAGGCAGACTACTGCTGTTCTCGCAAGAGAGAACAAAACTGCACTCTCCCAGATGTTATGCTGCTTTCAGAAAGTTGTTTTCCTCAGGTTTTATCTAGCTGAATGAACCAGAATATCTCATAGAGTGAAATAAACGCTTCTACACGTCCAGCAATCAGACTCTGCAAGTAAATCCTGAACAGAGCTTTTGCAAAAAGGCTCATTATAAAAGGGCACATTATAAATACATCACTTTAATACTAAAATTACTTGTTAAATTGTGGTGTTCTCTTCACGTAAATACTGGAAGATGAATTAACAGGAAAGCTTACAAAGGATGTGTATACGTGTGTCTGTGTCAGGAAGAGATCAGCACTATTCTCCAGGTGAGAAATAACGGATGACAATATCTGTACTTGCCATGACTCTGAGGCTTATCTCAGTCTTACACTTCCTTTCCATTTGGAATGGAATCCCAGGACTTTCAGGAGAAGGTGGTGAGGATCAGGATCAAGCAAAGCATCTGGCACTGCAGGGCAGGGATTGACAGTGGGGTGGGAAGACAAGGCCTGCATATTTTTGTGGGAGTCCTGTGGGTGAGGTTTGCAGCTGAGAATGAAGCTGGGTCCTTCTAGAGGAGTGATACAAACATGCAAGTGGTTCATACAACTTGTTTTCCACAAATATCCCAGCCCCCTGGTTGTTATTCTCTTTTACTAGTCTCAGAGGTGTGACTTGCAGGAGCAAGGAAACCAGCAGATACACAGACAGCTGCCATGGCTTCAAAGAGGAAGGCCCCCCGGGGAATGAGCAGCACCTGCTCACTCTCATCCAGAGAACTGCATAGGAAGCAATGAGCTACCAATGGAGCGACTACCCCCAAAATCTGCCCCCAAAATCTGCCACCTTCAAGGCAAGGGTACTAGGAAAAGTATCTCTATTCCATAGAGACTTGCCAGTCATTGCTATTATTTCAAATACTTTGGAGGACATCAGAATGCAGTGCATAAAAATACTCACTATCTTTTTTCATGCTTTAAAGAAGGCAAAGCTTATCCCATTCAGGACTCTAGGAGCAACTTTGCACTAAATTCTGCTAGGCACAACTATTCATCCTCTAGGCAAAAGCCACTAAAAAGTACTATTAAAACAGTACATAAAAAAGTGAAAGCTAGATGAACATCAGAAATCAACTGGAAATGTATTAAAAATATAATTGAGATGTTGATATAAAGAGGGGATGAACATACAGTTAAAACTGGAGTAAGACTGAAGAACTCACTGTTTCACTTTCACCTCTGACATGGAATTGCTATGCCATCTTCCTAATGCCAGCCATCCATGCACTGGGTTACATTAGCTACAAAATAAAAATCAGTATCTCTTGACTTAATTAGGTAATAAAACTATTAATATTTGAAACTACTTGGGCTTGGTACTCAGATTCTGTTCCTCAGATTTTTCTCTACACTCAAACACTTCCAAAATCCACCAGAAAACCTGTAACGGAAATCTAAGTAGATATCCAAGTATGTAGAAAATATAGTAGGCCATTACTTTCCCTGCCTTGGTACACAAGCAATTTAGGACAGTATTCATATTCTGGTTATTCATGGAAGCAACGCAGCTACCTGCAAAAAAGCAGCCAGAGGAAGGGGCAGACACTACAGTCTCAGAGTAAGGGAACTAGAGGATTTTACTGATGAGTTTAGAATTCTGACTTAATTTAGCAGACAAACTTTAAATAAACCACTATGTTGCATTTCACCAATATTTCATTCTATTCCACTTTTATAACCCAGAGGAAGAATTGTTGAAGGAAACTTTCAAGTGATTTTCTTCACAATCTTTTTTATCCAGTTTTTTTATAAAATGTCAGTACAGTTTCAACATTTCTGTCAGCAAATAGTTCTGAGGGGCAGCAGTTCTTAATAACTGGGAATGAAAACGGAAAGAAATTTTTGTTCCTCCTTTTCACTGTGGGGCTTACTCTATTTTGAAGACTATTCTTAAGGCAACAAAGATGCAGTTGTGATAACACACAAAAAAGGTGTTAATAAAAATGACAAAAAAACCCCCACACCTTTCAACACATGATGCAGCCCCATACAATACACTCCAAACTCCCGTAACAACAATTTATCTTAGGAAAAATTGGACAAAATTGCACTGTTGTCAAATGTCACAGATCAGCGTTTTGTGTGCAATCCTCCTCAACTTAGCCAACTGCCGAGCCACCTCGCTTCACAAACTGTTCTGTACTCTCAGATTCACTCTACTTTTATGATCAGGATTATTACAGGGTCACAGTGACTGCATGGAACCTGCCACACTAAATTCTGGAACAGGATTAGAAATTGCCTTTTCCTGCTGTTGTGATCCACAGACTACAACCATGAAACTGAAATAATAGATAGGCTCCCTGGATCTCAGTGCCAGTACCCCAAGAGTTGCCTGTCATTTGACATTGCCAGAAACGAACCAGCATAGATCTTGAACATTCCTTCCTGTAGGAGAAGCCAAGACGAAGCAAGTTTGAGAAATACTTACAGAAACATGGTTACCGACAAAAACATAGCATCCTAAAAGGCCACAGTGGCCACAGTTACATCCTGCAGTGCCAGCTCAACGCCAAGGAAGATAAATGCACCATAAAAGTACAGTGATAAAGCTCTAACAGCAGGACAGGGAAAGGACTGGAACAACTTTATTTTTTAAAACAGATTCTTGCATCAAGCCACACTTCATGGCCAATACAATGATATTATAAGTCACTAGCAGTCAACCAGAAGTTTAGGCATTACCCAGGTGTCACCAACCAGTCCTCTGCCCTCTGCATCTTGACAAATGCCAGCAGATATGCAGATAATATTTAAAACGTCATTAGTTATTTAAGCATAAAATGACATTTCTCTATGCCACTATAAGCAATAAAAAAGCCTATTACACACTCCCGCTCTTTATACAGTATCATCACTATCTCTTACTTGGAAATCCGATTTGTTATTAAGGTAGCAACAGCATGGATGGCTAGTGGTTTTCCTACCTCTTCCCCTGAGATTTTAACAGTTGTTAGGCCTTGTATCATTGGATGCTGGGATCAGAATGGAAGGTTTAGAAAAGATTTTAAATTCTGATACAATAAAGGCTCTGTCTCAGCTACCACAGAAGTCAAATATGGAACAATGATACATTTACTACATTTCTTGGCTTGTGGGTTTGCAAGGTGTACCCACCAGACCTCTTCATGCAGACAGGCAATGGTAACACAGAATATTTGCTAATATGTAGGCTAAAGACAACCAAATCACAGCACCCATGCTGACAAATCTAGCCAAATCAGTTACCAAGCAGGCCTGGGCTTCAGATATTGACAGAGAAGAAACACACAAGGCGTAAGACCAGTAGTCAGCATGGGAGTGGTATAGAGCACCACAGAGTGAACCTTCAGCCAATTACTGTGAGAGAACAGCCATAAAGAGAGAGATCATATCTATTGCCAGAAAGACTCCAGACATAGCAAAGAGTAACATCCACCAGTGCAACAGATGCAGCATGCCATAATGGATTTATGACCAACCAGCCAGCATTGCTGCAATCATGAATAGAGCTCAGTACTTAGGCACGTAATGCATTCCCCCAAAGCCATCATCATCTAACCCTGGCAGAAGTTCACTCGCTGCTTGCCTGCATTGCAAATGTTTGAGAACATCCCCTACAAGAGAGGAGTGTGAATAGCAGAACGCTGGCCATAACAAGTCTATGGCTGACGGAACGAACATTACCTTCAGGGAGCTATGCTATTTTGGTCTTCCCTTGTTGCCTTATGCCCCACTGCTGCA